AGAGAGAGAGAGAGAGAGAGAGAGAGAGAGAGAGAGAGAGAGAGAGAGAGAGAGAGAGAGAGAGAGAGAGAGAGAGAGAGAGAGAGAGAGAGACGGATCCTTGGTACCAGGCGGCTAGGCCACGAGCAGGATGGCAGCACGGGCGAGGAGAGAGAAAAATGAAACGGCAGTCGCCACGCGCAAGGCACTGTGGCTGGAGGCCACTGCTGCAGTCAAGGCGGGGGCCTGCCGTCGCTTGCTGTGGGAGGCGCAATGTACATCATGACGAGTGTATGTGCAAAGAGGATACGGGGCTGGCAGCCGCCTGAACGCGTCTCGTATCATGATGTTGCAAGTATGGCGTGGGTTGCTTGCGCACGGGTGCAACGACGCAAGCAAGCCCCTGCACACGAGCAACACCCCCCAGAAGACTGCGGACGCTGGCGTGTGCCTGTACACGAGCATACACCGGTCACCGGCGACCACCCCGCGGTCCATCCATTGTTATCAGCACAACCCCTAGACGTCGACGCCAACCGCCCCTCGCCCTCTCGCGCTGGCCCTCGCTGCCATGCGCCCGCTGCCGGCAGCTCGTTGGCCGCTGCCCTGTTTGAGCTGGAGTCCTTTTTTTTCTTTTTTTTTTATTTCTTTCGCGTCTTGTTTCATGATGATGACATTGTGATGCAGTCGTTCCGTCCTCTCTCTCTCTGACCTTGTCTCTGTCTCGTTGTACATGTACTCGTTGTATCCGTATGTACTCGCTGTACGCTCTGGACGTGTTTGTGCGCTCTGCTCTGTACTCGCTGTGCTCTTTGTACTCGCTGTGCTCTCTGTACCCTCTCTGTACTCGCTGTACTCGCTGTGCCATGCTACTCTTTATCCTCTCCTCAGTACATCTCTCTCGACTCGCGACTCTACTCTCTGTCTTCCTACTCTCGCTTTCGCATCAACGTCATTCATACACACACAGCGACATTTGAAAGTGTCACGCTATCTGATGTCATGCAAAGCAGGTGTTTTTTCTCTCTCTCTGTGGCAAGGCGCGCGTGGAGAAGTGAGCGTCTTCTCTGGAATGACGTGTGAAAGGCTAGGTGTCTGGAGTGAAACCCAGTCTCTGGTACTGATGCTCGAGCACGCGAAAAAGCCACCCGCCAGCATCGCCTCTCTGGTTTGAGTCAACTACTTGATCTTTGAGGAATCGTGTGGCGGCATGGCGAAAGGGGATTGTATCCATGCATTGGGGATGAAAATCAAAGTCGACTGTTGCAACACCAGAGCAGCCGTCACATGACCAGTCACGCATTGCTTACTTGCACCAATATGAAGCTTCATGCACAAGCAAGCAAGACGCTGTGGCACATGCCACGTGAGAAAGAAAAAGTCAGCAGTCTTTGCTCGAGACTGAGAAACTGGAAGACTGCATGCTGGGGGTTTTGGGTATGTTCCCACCAACTACGTGGAGCGACCCTGTCGGTATGCCGTTTCGCCATGCTGGTGCGGCACCAACACCCGTTTGGTCTTGGCAACCACCCCGAGGCAGCGCACCAAACAGGCCCAAAAGCCAACAACCAAAGTGCGCTCTTCAATCCATAAAGGCTCTCGTTCTCCCACTTCGCCCAGCTCGCGCTTTTACGCCGGCTGAAGCGTTCAGACGGCATTTTTTACCACTGGCCTGCTCGCGTCACAGGCAGTCGGCGCCGGCGCCGAAAAGGGCCAATCGTCACTACATTCGCGCGCTGCCCCATGGAGCCACTTTGTCAGACAAATGCGTGCTGCACAAAATGTCTTGCTCGTTCCAAGCTCTATGGCCAAGAGCGTCAGAGATGGAGAGCGCGATCAATAGCAACTGAGAGAAGTGTGACAATGGTGAAAGCTCTTACACTGGGTTTCAAAGGTTAAAGAAGAGGTACCGAGGGCATCTGAACAATTTTGAGAGATGCTTTGAATCAAGTTTGACCTCGCCCTGCCTTTGTTTCTCCATGTGTGCATTGTTATGGGTGCGTGTGTTTTGGCTGTTGTTGTATCTTGTGACGACGTCAGCAGGGCGGGACCACGCCACTTCCGTGCCTGTCCCTGGCTTTCCAAGGGCTCTTGCTCGTGTTGCCACAACATGGCAAGGTCGCGGCCTAGCTTCCCATGCCACGGAGCAGGTCAAAAATCGTTTGGCTGCCGTTTGATAAACGATTTAAGGCCACGTTTCCAACAACAAGAACTTGGTAGGCGCAGGATTTTTATCCCTACTCTCCTCGTTCTTCTGGTGAAATCGCGGGCGCGCCATAGCGTTTGCCCCCACTTTCCCATTCAACGTCATCGTCACACCTGGCCCGTACCTCTCTCGTCCCCGACCAGAACCCTGCCTGGCCTTTCTGGAGCCGTGTCGCATCAACACGTGACTGGCACCGTTGCAGCCGATTGCACACCTATGCGCTCGGAGGCCTTTTTTTTTTTTTTTTTTTTTTTGTCGTCGAAGCAGATCCCAGACTCGTCAAGATCCGAACGTTGACCCACCCCGCCAATAAGAATCGTGTTCCAGTTCAGCATGTTAACATACAATCTTTTCCATGGCCAATCTTCAATTACGATCCGATCGGAAATCGCGCGCACGTGTGTCGATAGCGCACACATCGTGATAGATCAAACGAATCAGCGCTCCACGCCGGCCAACCTGTATTTCGGACACGTGGGGAATCACAGATTGATGCAAGGGAAGAAAATTGGCGCTGGCGCGGAACAGGCGAGACACACGCGGCCCCAACACGAACGCAGAGACAGACAGACCATGCATAGCTGGAACTCACCCCTCTTTTTTCCATGTTGTGCAACCGCATACGACATCTCGCATCATCCATGCAACACACACCTTTGGGCGCGCTCACGAAGAAGCTTCGGCGCCAGCGCCTGTTTTCCCAAGCCTCCCCCCCTCCTTGACGACATGGGTTTGGGTGGGTGCGGATGGGTAACGTTTCTGCACGGTTTGATCATCAAACGGGCCAGGCCAAATCAAGTCGGGGACGGCTTCGAGATAAAAGCATGTTGCTGGCTTGCACGCAGCTTGGACGACATCCCCTAGTCTCGATCTCACACGTGGACCAGGCGGGGCCCTACAAGAAAAGGGCGGTCGCCTAGCGATCCCGTACTGCTGCTTCGTATGCACTGGCACCGAGGTAATGGATTGGACACAAGGACGACCCATTGCATGTTCAGAGAAATTCGCGGGGTCGTGAGACCCCTTCCGATAGGGAACCCGTCATGTAAAAGAAAAAGGGACAGAAACAGAAAAAAAGTCACCTCGACTGACAGCATAGGGATTGACAGGTCCGGCGGCGCCCCGCAGCTGCTGTGCTCTAGCGGAGTAGAACTAGACCAGGCTTGGCTCTAGCTAGCGGGCTCACTCGTAGAAGGCTGCCCTTCTCGCAACAACCGCAAGCAGGCCTCACAGGCAAACCTCAGCAAAACCTACCGAAAGTTGCCTACTAATTGACACCTCTCTCTCTCTCTCCTTCTCTCTCTCTCTCCTTCTCTCTCTCTCTCTCTCTCTCGTTCGACTCCGCGGTGCATCCGAATTACCGCTTGATCCATTGATACGTCTGCCCTTTCTTCTGTCTCACCCCCTTCCCCTCGTCCCAGCCTCCGCCCTTTTGCTCACCCCCGCAACGCGAGCACATCATCCATCCCAGTCAAGCCGATTCTTTTTTTTGTTCACCCAAAGAGAAAAAAAAAGTTTTTTTTTGATGTTTTTTGACGTTTGAAGCTGACAATTCACATCACTGTTGTTTCTTGTTGTTGTTGTGACTCTCTCTCTCTCTCTCTCTCTCTCTCTCTTTTGAGCGCGCAGATTTTTTTTTAATTTTTTTTCCGGATCGTCTGTGTGTGTGTGTGTGACTGCCGTTTTGTGCGCGATCGAGGCAGTGTGGGGGATGGCAGGGCAGGTGGAAGGAAGGGTGAGGTGGAGAGGGACGGGGGTGGTGGAAGGAGGGCGTTGTGATTGCATGATGGGGTGTGGATTGGAGGAAAGAGCTGGCCGCTCTCGACGGAGCAGGTGCGCGAAGGGCAGAGTGTGGAAACGACGATGGTGTACCTGCTCGCCGCTTGATCCCATGACGCATGTACCCCTTTGATCAGAGGCACAGGTGGGTCTACCACGCAGCCCACCTGGTGGATTGCTTCACGTGCCTCAATTCGAGTGAATCCGTGATCAAAAGAACGGTCACAGCGGAGCTTCAGCACCCCACATCCCCACATGCGAGTGACATCCACCTTGGGTTCAACAATCCCGACATCACATGCGATCCTTTGATCACCTGCACCTTCGTTCCCCCCCAATCCACCATCCCTCTCCCCCCCCCAACACTGCTCTTCACTGGCACACGCCGACCACCACGAGGTGTCAGGCTGCTCCACTTTCCACCCCCCCGGATCTTCCTTGCCTTGCTTCGCCCTTTCCTGCCCTTCCCCTTCCCCCACCCACCTGATGCCATCCCGAGCGAGTATAAGTACGGCTTTCTGCCCCGAGATGGGCATTTTCCGGCATCGGCATCAACAGCACCAACAACGAGGCCCGTCCAGATCTCGGACCTCCTGCCCACATCTTCTTTTCCTCGAGTCCCAACAGCAACACAAGGCCGGCCGCATCAGCACCGCCAGTGCCACCGACATCACCAATACCACCGACCCGACCCCTCTTCTCTCTCAGCACCGAAGAAGCTTACCCCTACCATCCAGCACCATGCTGCGCCAGGCTGCCGTCCTGGCCCTCTTGGCCTTGATGGTCGTTCCTGCCTCGACCACCCCCGTCGATGCTATGGAAGGTACGTCGAGTGTGCGCTTTTGGGAGAAAGCAGGATTCGAGCCTAGCTCTCTCTAAGTCCTTCATCTTGCATGTTTGCTTGTGTGGTGACGGATTGTATTTGGGGTTGAGTGACTTTTGCTGATATTATTGTTTTTTTGTTGTTATGGGAGTGGCGCTGAATGATCTTGATTTTTAACTCACTGACCTGTATGACTTGGCCGTTCTTAGTCTTGAATATTGTCAAGGACTATTTGTTTCCCGTGTGCACCACTCATGGCGTCTCTCAGATTGACAACGTGTCCCATACCAAGTCTTGCGAGTGTGACAGCGGCTACGAGGGTGATTTTTGCGAGTAAGTCACCTTTTCGTTGACTCGCACCAAGATGCACAGCCGTTGAGATCAAAATGGCCCGACTCATCCCACTTTGCTTCGATTGTCTTGTAGAATTTATGTGGGAGATTTGCACTGCAACACCACAAACGACATCCCACTCTTCATCGCCGCCGTCGAAGGCGTGACCACCGTTCGCGGCAACGTCTACATTACTGCGCTCTGTGTGGTGCCCGAGAGCATCGCTGCGGCCAACCAGCTCAACACCATTGACGGCAGCGTCTTCTTCTATGAACCGACCGACTGGAGGCAGTTCTGGGTTACCTGGCCAGAGAATGCCTGGGAAACGGTTACTGGCTGCGTGATCATCGCTTATATTCCTCAGGCCAATATCATTGGTTATCCTGTCTTCCCCAAGCTCTCCTCCGTCGGCTCGTGCTCGCTGAGCGAGGTCCAGGCCGTCCTCCCCGCTGGCTACACTCGTATGCTTGTGAACCGCTCAATCACCCCACGCGTCTCCATGATGCTCAGTACGTTTGGCACCGGCTATGAGGATTGTCATTACGGCTGCAATGACGTCACCTTCTTCGGCAAGCTCCGCACCATGCCCGGTGCCTTGGTCTTTGACAACATGCCCTTGCATTATGGCAACGATATGATTCTGGAACACGTCGGTGGTCTTTATGTGATCAGCTGCTACCACCTGCGCCGAATTGGCATTCCTCACCTGGCCACCATTGGCGAACACGGCTTGTTGCTCGAGGATAGCAGCCTCGACAACCTTGATGACTTTGCTGGTGTTCGAACCGTGACTTTGGGTTTTGTGGACATCAAGCACATGTACGAGCTCAAGAACGTTCTTAGCTTCAACCCCACCATTATTGAGCGCACCGGCACGCCCAGCACCTCCATCTCGATCCAGCTCGCTTGCCAGAACGGCTATCACCACGGCTTTCCCGAGTCACAGTGCACATGCAGCTCCCCCGAGTACTCTGGCATCCTCTGCGATACCATCACGGGCACCTTCTTGTGCATGGATCCAGTCCAGGCTGAGCAGCTTAACCAGACTCTTGCCAATGTTCGCCATGTTGTCGGTGACATCCACTTGACCGACAGCTGCCTTGAATCTTCCCTCCTTTTCTTGCCCTACCTCAGGACCGTCGAGGGTAGCATTTACATCAACTCCTTTGGCCTGCCTATCATCGAGCCCTTCTTTGGAGCACTTGAGTCAGCCTCCGTCATCACGATTGAATCCGTGCCCAATTCGCCGCTGCACTGGTTCCCCAGGCTGGAGACAGTTGGCTCCTTGGGTATCCTGAACGTCGACGAGTTTGTCAACTTTACCGGTTTCCCTGAGCTGACGACCATTACTGATGGCCTCGAGGTTGTCAACTGCGCCGGCGCCACCTCTTTTGCTGGTCTTGAGAACGTGGCCGAGCTGGGCACCTTGTCCGTCATCGCATCGCCGCAGCTGACTGACTACTCCGCGTTCAACGGTCCCGAGAAGGTGGCGCTGCTCAGTCAAAACAATGCCCCTGCACTCAGCATTGACGCTTGTACGGACTGTGAAGCTCTTCTCCTGCACTTGATGGACACGGTCGTAATTGCTGACGGTGCTGCGATCAACGTTCCTTGGACTACCTGCAGTGGTTTCGGTCTTGTTCACCCCGGCGACTTGGGATGCACCTGCAACCCAGGCTACACCGACTTCATGTGCCACGGCTACAACGGCGACACCATCTTCTGCAACACTTCCAGCGCTCATATCGTTGAGTCCATGCTTGCGGGCGTTACCCACATCTACAGCAGCCTGGTCATTCAGGAGCTCTGCGGCTATGACACCAACCTGGGTCTGCTGGACACGGTGGACTACGTGGCTGATTTGTACTTCAATACGCAGTCGATGTACTATGGCAAGATCCCTCCCCACATTGGCAATGTCACGATTTTTGACACGATGTTCTGGACCTTGGAGGGCTTTGAACAATCCCTTCACATTGACAGCCTGGTCGTTCAGGGCAACAGCGTCATGTACTCGCTTGAGGGTATCAACAACCTCGAAACGGCAGGCCAGATCGTGATTTCCGACAACATGGCCCTGACCAACGTCGATGCCCTGAGCCAGCTCGTCAGCGTGACCTACAGCCTGGTCATCTACAACAACGACGTCGATGTCAACAGCATTGCGTTTGACTACAACTCCATTCCCACCGCCTACACCTACGTCGCCGGCTAAGGCTCGAGCCGTAAGGACCAACTCGACATGCGCTATGATACGTCTGTGACCTATCGAGGGCAAAGTTTTTCTGTGCTGTGTTTTGTGTCGCTGCAGTACCCGACTTGTTTCTGTGTAATGCTTTTGTTCCTTCGATTCCTAGCGTGTTTGTTCCACCTCCCTTTTAGAATTCCCGACAGTTATAATTCACATCCTGACCATCTTTTCCACATGTTTTCCATCTCTCCTTGCGTGGCGATGACGACACCAATCAATCCGATCTCCTACCACACAGATCATCAAGATGCTTATAAGACTGGCGCGCCAAAATGGGAAATTGGTGCGCCAGACAAGTGACCGTTACAAAAACACAAAAGCATTACATGTAATGACATTCTTGGTCTTGCTTTTTATCTGACATATGGTTCCAATTTCAATTTTTCAATTTTGGGGAGATTCCGGCTTTCCTCTTTTTTTTTTCGTGTCGTGTGTGTGTGAGAGAGGTGAGAGCGCGCGCGGGTCGAGGATCATCTTGAGGCGCTGTCGGGTAGAAAGGGGCTGGTGATGGTGGTGGTGGTGGTGCTGTTGGTGGTGCTGTTGCTGGAGCTGGAGCTGGAGTTGGTGGAAGTTTTTGGTGGTGCTGGTGGCGCTAATGGCGTTGAGCGTTGGGTTGGGGAAAAGACGAGAGTGAGGCTCGGTGTTCTGACCTGTTTGGGCTGGCTTTTCTAGACTGGTGCAGAATGACTGAGCGTGACGCAAGAGCTGGCGCCTCAACGGCCAGCGCAAGCACAAGTACGACTGCGGCAGAAGACGGCCTGGAATCGGTCGATCTCAGCCAGTATCTAACGGACGAGGATCGCTTCGAACGGCCGGCCTGCTGGGACATTTTTGCCAAGTGGCGCTTTTGCACCAGTGCGTACCCAGTCTTGGCCGCTTGACACCCAACATGTGTTACTTGAAGGGCGTGCAAGGCATGCCACGGCCGCGGTGCTCACGGTTGCATCCTTCCTGCCCTCATCCTCATCTTGATGCGGGGCTGTTGTCTGTCTAGCTCCAAGCCACCAAATTAAGAATTATTACATCTACGGCGAGGTCGACCCGTGTCTCTGGCAATGGGAAGACCTCAAGCTCTGTCTCAAGCTCAAGCTTGAGCGGCCCGAAGCAGCAGCGGTGAGTTCTTTTCCTCGCTCTACCACTTTGGCCACGCCACGTGATCAAAGCCCCTCCCAACTCCGGCTTTGAATTCTTATGACCTCTTATTTTTTTTTTTTTGGTTGCCGTGGTGTGCTGCAGCGCAAGTGGGAAGCCCGACAACAGGAAAAGTTGCAGAATGAAACACCGCTTGTGAGCGCGGTGGGGACCGTTTGGGAGGCTCGGACCGAGCCTCCAAAGCCCACCCTGCCTCGTACGCACGAGCAGTACTCCGCCCCAAAAGAAGGCAAACATGACGTGGATGCCATCTGAGCATCCCACGTGGACGAACTCGCGCACACAGCTCTGTGTGGCTAAAGGGATTCCACAAGCAAAGGATATGAAGCATGCGGACAAGGTCTTCGTGTATCAAGCACCCCGATGCTCCTGCTAACCGGCCGAGCCGGTCCCTGATTCCTCAGCCTTCTTGATCCTTTGCAATTCAGGATTCGATCGATTTTGCCTTGCTTCTACTACTAGCCTGCCCACACCCATCCCAGGTTTGGAGGGATCCTCGTACAGTTGGCTGAGATTTGACTGGCACGCAAACAAAATGTCCGAGGACAACGCATGAGGCTCAAGGAGAAAAAAAACTCGTGAATTCTTGACCACACCAGACAGGGTGGCAAACCACAAGACGCATAATGAAAGGGTCATACTACTATGGCGTTCTTATTACGAGGCGATCCTTGGCGAGCCCCCGAGACAGGCATTGTGCCCGTCCATCAAAGCAAAGAGAAAATAAAACAAAACGACAAAGAAAAAAGAAAAAGACTTATTAACCAAAACGAACGCTGAACTCTGGCACTGCTGGCCTCCCTGGAGGCCGATACAGCTTATAGTTGGCAATTCATTGAATTGCCTTACAGGCAAAGCGCACAACGCGCAGGCCGGACATGACACCAAGCATGAGGTATATGGCTTGTCATGGCGCAGGAATATACACTAATGGTCATATACGTGGTCATACGGCACGGAAGGACGGAAGGACGGGCTGCCGCCCAGCGCCGAGCTGTTGGGTGGGGTGAGTGGAAGCATCGTTCTAGGCTTCGGAGGCCCCCAACGCCTCGGAAGCATCAATATCAAGCTGCAAAGTCGGCACGGGGCAGTAGGGGGAGAGTTGGTGTTTTAGGCGTTCCTCAGGCGCCATGCCACGGAAGAAGCGGTGGGGTTGGTCCACGTAGAATGCCACCAGCTCTGGGATGGAGCGAAAGCATTCCGAATCCGCTACCCGATACATCTGCAAAGCGAGGGCGGAAGCATGGGTAGGTGTGAGTTGTCACCCAGCCTGCAAGAGTCAAGTGGCAGCATCGAGACAAGGCAGCACACGAGCCGATCAACTCCACGCGGACCAACCGGTTCTTCGTAAGTAATGCGCACGTGAAAAAAGACTTTATCTTTGGCGACGGGGAATTTGAGTGTAATGACGCGCGAGCTGCGGCCTTTGCGCACGGCAAACGTGCCCGTGGGCCACGCTCGCAGCAAATCTTCAGCCTCTTTTCGATCAACAGCACCCAGGTACCACTGAAAACCGCGTAGCTCGTGTTCTTCCTCGCTGATGGTTGGGGGAGTTGTCTCTTCGTCTTGTTCAGGGCAGGGCTCACAAAGACTCATGCGACTCTTGCGGCGTTCAGCAGCCAGGCCTGCTTCAGGGATCATGTTATCTGCAGCAGCAGCAGAGCTACTGCTCCGATGGGCCCGACGGAGTGAGGGGCGCGGTGGCGTGGCGGGTAGCGGTCGGCTGGTGGTATGGTGCGAGGCGGCGCGGCGTGGGCCATTGAACTGTGAAGCAGAGTCTCGCTCGTGGTGCAGGCTGGCAGAGCGTTGCTGCGGGTGGCGATGGTCTTCCTGAAGCGAATCTGCCCCAGTGCCGGCGCTACTGGCAATCGAGGACGGTCTGAGTGGACGGGGTGGGGCCGGGCCGGTTGTGGATTTTGGGGCTTCGTACATGTCCACTTCTGGTTCTGGTGTCTCATAGACGGGCTCGGGGCGCCCCGTATCCGAGGCAGTCATACTGCTGGTGGGTGTGTTATTGGTTAGGCTGATGTGGCCCGCTGGAGGTGGGGGTGGGGCCGGCGTAGCAAAGGAGGACTGGCGACTGGAAAGGGTTTGCGATTGATCGATGATGTTGCCACCAAGCCGGGGCCCTGAGGATCGCTGATTCTCCATGCGGGCACCGCCCTGTATGACAGCGGTAGGAAGTGACATGAAGGAAGCAGGAGGGCAGGGTAAGAGAGAGGGCGAGAGAGAGGAGAGAGAGAGAGAGAGAGAGAAAGAGGCGAGAGTATGTGAGGACAGATGCACGGATACATTCATGGAAGCGATGCCTGCATAGCTTGGGCTGGGCGATGAGCATTCTTCAACTAACCTGAAGCTTGAGGATAAGATCAAAAAGGGATTCCTCCTCCTCGTTGCGGCCGAGCATGGCCATCTTGGGTGTGGTAGTGGGTCCGGAGTTGCGCCGGCTTTTGCGAAAACTAAAAGCTTTGTTCATGTTGGCGGTCGTGCGAGGGCGCTGCTCTTTCGAACCGACGTGGTGACTGCCTGCTGGCACGCGTGAAGGAGCGCGGCCTCTTTCGTGCTTTGGGGCAAATTTTCAAATTGTCTGTCACAGGGTCTCAGAGATGAAATGGGGACCATGGGCACGCCAGGGAAAAAGCCTTGATAACTGTCAAGTCTGGGAAGAAGCTTGACAGATGTGGCCACAGAGACGTGAGATGGGCCGCGGGCTGGGGCTCTGGTCTGGGGAAAAACTCGTCTCCAGATGGGAAACAGTGTTTGTGTGTTAAAGTGCGTGTGGTCACGGGTCGTTGTGTTTTGATGCTGACCCTGAGACAAAAGTGGCAGCCCAAGGGGTGAGTTGTGAAGGCAAGCAGGTGTTTTAAAGAGAGGACACAAAATTGGACGTGGGCTGGCCGAGGCGGTCGCCGGGCAAAAAATCACAGGTTGTTGCTCCCCAGCACTCGCATTGCTCTCTCTTTCCCGTTTGTGGCTGTTGTTACAGACTTGACTGGCCGGGCGAGCGCGTGACATACCAAGGGAGGGCGAGCTGCAAGCTGAGAATGAGGGTCGATCTACTTGGCAGGAAAGAGAAATTGTTTGTGAGGCAGAGACGCAGAAGTCTCAAGATGTGCTCCGAGCCGAGGCGTGTTTGGTGGCACAAGCTCGGCGTGGAAGCTCGATATGTCCGCGCCTCAGCGCGTATGCCAACCACTCGCAAGATGCATTCCGACTGACATGAACCACGAGCCGAACAGGAATCAGAATCGGGGGTGGAGGCGGGGGGAAGATCAGGAGCGAGACGGAATGCACCGACGGCGGACATGGACGATGCCCTTGCACGATCATTTGCATGCATGTAGGCATCAAATACACCAGTGCGCGAAGAGAGTGAAGTTAAAACTTATTCCTTAATGAGATGTCGTATATATTATCGGGGTTAATGCAGATGTATAAGGGACAGCTTAGTTAGAAGTTGTATTTAATGGTAGAGAAGATGCGGTTACGGCGGATTCGTCAGCTTTTTTTTTTTTTTTTTTTTTTTTTTTTTTAGAGATATGGCAGCGCACTCGAGTGAGTCGAGCACCCGTCTGCCGCCACCCACTGCTTGTGCCATGTGAGGTTGTGGCACTGTCCGTCGTGTTAATCGAGCAATTTGCGCTTTTCAACCCCCGGCGTCAAGCGCCTATGGGCTCCGCGGCGAACGAATTCGAGCGGGCAAGAGCTGCGTGACAAGCCCCTGTTCGTTGTTGGGTAACATCCAGTCCATAATTACGTACACACACTCTCTGCGCCACACACCCGATTCAAACCCACTCTCTGTTCCACCGTTAGAATCTGCATACAAAATCACACAAATTAAACACCAAAGTTACACACTCTCTGAACACGACCCCTCGGCGCCAACCATTCTCTTCTCTGTGCGCCAACTGCTGCAACACACACACACACACACACACACACACACACACACACACACACACGCGCGCGCAGCGCGCAACAGGTACGTCGTCGGGTGTTGTGGGCGCCCTCTTCTTCCTGCTGCTTCGCGTGTGTGTTCGAGCCAGCCTTGCTGTCTGCTCTGCTCGTCTGTGGGCTAGCTGCCTCGACACTTCTCTCTCTCGTCCCCCGCTGTCCCCCGCTGTCTCCTTCCGCTTCCAACACACACCCACGCTTGCTCTCTCTGCCCGCCCGCCCGCCCGCCCGGTCGGTCGGTTGGTCGCGCTCGCCACCTCGCTTGACGGACAAACACGGACAAGGGGCAATCGGTTTGGGGCACACACAGCCTCAATTTATCCATCCATCCGTCTGTCCGGTCTCTGACCACCACCAGCTCCCACAGCTTGTGCTGTTGATGCTTCTGGTTCGGTGTTGGGGCCGCATTTTGTCCTTGATCCTCGCCGCTGTCGTCGCATCTCGCTGTCCACCTCGCTGCCCATCTCGCTGTCCACCTCGCTGCCATCCACTGCCGTCCACTGCTCTTGGTCGCCTTGTGATCTGGCACCACGCTGCTCGCTATCATCCAACCACCCACTGCCACTTGAACTCAATCCCATCCCATATCACCGATCGCATTCTCCTCAACGCGCAATACCTTGCGCCTGCCTCTCCCCCCCCGCCACTTGATCAATTCCTCACATCTCCTTTGCGTGGCGTCCTCGCTGCCGCTGCTTCGCCGCCAACTGCTACCACCGTTTTTTCACCACCTTGTTGTTCTTGTCATCTGCCGGCCCGCTTATGGAAAAAAAGATGACGCTGCCCTCGACAGCTTTGCCCCAGCGAGGTGTGTCAGACACTCTCTGGCTTTGGCCGGCTGCCGCTGACTCTCCCATCAATGCTCCCTTCCGCTGACGGCTTGCCTAAAGTCTCACTTTTGCTCCCACTCCTTGTCGTGTCGCTCTTGCAACCCCTCGCCTCCATCTCGTCAACTCGCTGCGCTCTCCTCGTAGTGCTTGCAGAACGCTATCTGATCAAGCCAATGGCCTCTCTTCGCGCGTCTCCTTTGTGCAAACGGGCGAGCCTGGGCCCGCTGGCCGATTCGTCTGCCGCCTCGGAAGAAGAAGACGATGATATGCCAAAATACAACTACCGCGAACTCTATGATCTGGCACATCGCCGCTTCCTCTACGATGAAGCCAACAACGTCGCTCTGCTCCCCGATGAATTCCGCCAGTGGCCCATCACCCTTGGCCCCGTCGAGCTCTCCACCGCCCAGCCCCCACCGCCGTCGGATGAGCCCGGGACCTACCACAAGCGTCTCAGCACAAAGTACCGCCAACTCAACGAACACGGTTATGTCAAAGCCCACGAGTATCTACCTGGCCTGACCCCGGGTAGCCTTGATCGTCAACACAGCAAGGCCACCTCCCTCGTGCTCCGGACTGAAATTGCCAACAGCGTCAACGCACATTTCCGCCACGGTGGCGAAATGAAGGTCACCGCCCTTGAGGTTCTGGCTGCCCTCGAATATTTCCTTCCCGTCGTCAGTGATTTTGAATATGAACACGGACGCGCTAGTCATGTGTGGACCAAGTCAGAGGACGGTAGGCTGACACGCCCAACCCCTTTGCCCTTCCCCCACAGCCTTAGCCCTGCACACACGGCTTCTCTCACATGGCCATGATCCTCACCCTCATACACCATGCCTTTCTGCCTTGAACTAGGTCGAGTTTGGTTGAATACCTTCTTGGACCTTCTGCCCAGCCTCTGCGATGTCGCCATGCGTCAACTGGCTGCGGATGAAGTCCTGCTCGAGCTCGAGTCGCCCACATACGTCCTTGGTCAGTGGTCCCTCCAACCGTATACACGTTCCTTGTGTTGACGCCATCTGCGCCAGGCTCCACACGGCTACCCCACAAGGCTACCCCACACGGCTGCCGGGCCATGGGCCCATGTCTTCTCAGCTCCACCTTGTCTCATCGCTCCGCCATTGCTTCCTGGCCATGCCACCCTCCCTAGGCGATTTGCACGGCAACTACCGTGACCTGCAGTATTTTGCTTCCCAGTTTTGGCGCACGGGCGTCGACATTTGCCCCTCCAACCTTCTCTTCCTGGGTGATTACGTCGATCGAGGACCTCATTCGGTCGAGCTAATCGCCTATCTACTGGCCCTCAAGGTCCTATACCCTAGCAAGGTCTATCTCCTGCGTGGTAACCACGAACTTGAATCGGTGTGCGGTAACATTGAATACTATGGAGCTGGCTCTTTTCGCCACCAATTGCACTCTCTCCTGGTGGCAGCTGGCCGAGGGGACCAGCTCGAGTCTACCTGGGGCGCTTTTATGAATTGCTTCAATTGGCTCCCTTTAGCCGCCACCATCGACCGCACTGTCTTCTGCTGTCACGCGGGTATTCCCCGCGCCATCATGACCCAAGCCCCTACAAGCCCAGCCCAGAATATCCTTGAGCGCATTAAAGCTATGCAGCGCCCCCTCTGCGAGGACGACGACATTGACGGCGCCCCCGATTGCATGGCCATGGACATGCTTTGGTCTGACCCCGCCTCAGGCCGTGACCTGCCTTTCATGGGACATCAGGGCCTGCCTGCGGGCTTTGCTCCAAACATGGATCGGGGTGGTGACTCTTGCGTCTTTGGCGAAGCCGCTGTTAAGGCCTTTATGAAGCAGACAGGATGTGACTTTATGCTTCGCGCCCATCAGCCTCCAGACAAGGGCATCCGCTATCAGACGGGCGCGCGCGTTGTGACTGTGTTCTCCAGCTCTCGCTACTGCGGCCTGAGTAACTCAGCCGCCCTGATTGTCATTTCCAAGTCCTCGATGGACATCGTCACCACGGGACCGACCGATGAGGTGACCGAGCGTCCTGGTTCACCCTCCAAGCAGCAAATGCGACAGGGCGTGACTGCCAACGCTGGAAACGCCATGGACTCGCAAGCCGATCAGCAGCAGCAGCAGCAGCAGCAGTCACAAACGCAAACGCCCCAGCGGGCGCCACGCGGCACCCTCCTCTAGGACAGGGTCAGAAGAGCGGCTTTGCCACAGTTATTTCCTTGCCTTCGATTGCATGTTCATTGTTGTTGCATCTCAATGCCATTGAGCTATGGTATGCTTGTTCTTGGTGCTTCGCTTTCCCATACTAATCCCTACTTTCGCCTCCATCTCTCCTCGTTGTTTGAGCCATTAACCAACCTTCACTCGGGCTTTGTAGCTCTGCGAGGTTGAGCGTGTTTCGCCCCCTTGCCCATTGTACAAATGGACTTGCCCAATCCACAATTCAACGTGTACCCAATTTGGCTTGTCAGTGGTTTCCACACACACACACACACACACACACACACACACACACACACACACACACACACACACACACACACACACACACACACACTCAACGAGGCTTTGCCAAAGCAACTGCCCATGAAGATGAATTTGATCCACAGAATATTTTTTTATTGTTTGTTTTCAATGATGAATTGTACATGAGCAACGCGTCTCACGCAAAAGCAACAAAAAAGAGAACTCATCAGGCAATGTGCGACACAACAGTCACAGACGTTTGTGCGCTAGCGCTGGGTCAACAGTGTAGTAGATAAAATGAGCATAAAGTTCTAAAACATGGTCAGGAATTAAGATAACGACAGAAGGCCTGTCCACATGCTCACGGTGCAAAGCCGACCCACCAAACGGGGTCACATATCACCGAGGGAGGAAGCATAAAATCAAAAAGGTGCGTCATGATCAGACAGCAAAGCTGGATTCTCGTCCCATTACATGTGGGACAAGTGTCAGGAGAAAGCATAGACTGGGAACGGCTCACCGGGAGCTGTTCACGTCGCCAGAGAAAATGACAGACAAATCAGGAGAAAAACCAAAAGAAAAGCAATGGGTAGAGTGGTGTATAAAATATGATGAATGATATAAATAATAAAGACGAGTAGCATGACGAGGGCTAAGCGATCTACGCTAGCTATCTGAGGTCAATCG